TTTTACATTGTTTTTTTTCTGACATAATAATGATTTAATGATACAAGTCTTACTAATTAACCCATAGCTAGGGAGAGAAGAGGGATTCATACCTTTCCCAAAGGTATTTGCACCTAAGTGAATATAATGAACCCAATAGGAATTGGAACTCAGCTTTCCAATTAACAATTCCAAGCCATTATTCATTACACCAGCTGTACATCCAAGATTACAGTACCTGGTATTTCCAAGCAGTCACCCATCTAGGTACTGACCAGGTTCGACATTGCTTAACTTCGGTAATTATACAGGTAATAATGTTATAATATATAATTATTTTACTAATTAATCCATATCTGAGGGGAGAAGTGGATTCATACCTTTCCTATAAATATTTGGACATGTGAATATAATGAACACAATGGGTGTTAGAACTCGGCTCTAACAATTCAAAGCCATTATCCATTACACCACCCACACATACAAGCTTCCAGCACCTGGTATTCCCAAACGGTCACCCATCAAGATACTGACTAGGCTCGAGATTTCTTAACTTGTTTAGAAATGTAACTCTCTTGGAAATGTTTGACCAGACGACGAAACATGTAACACAGAAATCCTAAGGTGCTTTGGAATAAAGAAAAATGTTTTCAAAAAGTTAAACAAAGTATTAAGAAACCCGAAAATTTCGTTAGCAACAAAGAGCACTGAACTTCTATGTAATATTAATCCTGATATATGGCAATGAATGCTGAAGAATTTCCTCACAGATTAAAAAGAAACAGCAGGCAACAGAGATGTGGATCTACAGTAGGATTCTGAGAATAGCATGGATCAAAACATAAGAGCAACAAATAAATCTTAAGGGAAATGGAAACAAAAAGGAGACTTGTACTTAGAAACATGAAGAGACAGTTAAAATTTCTGGGAAATTTATGAAATGAGGAAAGAGGCCTTGGAGAATATGACACTCAAAGGATATTGAAAGTAAGAGGAGCAGAGGAAACAATGGGTAACCTATTTAACGAGCTTGTGTAAATGGATGGTAGATCGAGGCTTGAGAGGGGCAGTAAGGCCACAATTATTGTTTAGAACTACAAAAAATAGAAAGCTGTGGAAGGCTATACACGCTCACGGCAGATAAAATAAATCAGAAGATTATGACCAGATCAGAATTATTTGTATTCGTTCTGTTTAATGGGCGACAGTGTGTATCTTACTTATTATAAAACGCAGATTGTGTGTGTCTGTAACGTTTATATGTTGGATCGGATTTCCTACATTTTTCAACCGATTTCAACAAAACTTCACAGGACTACATAAAATTACCTTGTGGTGGTTCTAACAGCGCCAAAAATGGGAAAAAATATAATTGTTTTTTGCACAAAATCAATTTGAAAACACGATTAAGAGACATCAGGAAAAAATGGAAGGGGACAACTCACATCGGGTTGTTTGTGTGTGTGGTTCCTTTAAATATGAGATCGGATTTCCTATATTTTTCAGCCGATAAAACAAAACTTCACTTTTTTTTTTTTTTTTGGTAGTGTTTCTTATTCTCTTGCACACTTTTTTTTTTATTTTTAACATTCAGAATGCTTTAAAAAATTCCATTTACAAGACAATTATTTATAATAAAATTCTATTCAATCAGTAGACTCATAACGATTGAAAACAATGTTTTTGTTTGAGTTTGGGTTTGACCAATTCGTAAAAAAACAAAAAAAAACTAATTAAGACATGCGTGTCCGTCAACCTTAAACAATAATCTTTGTCAATTTTATTTTTCAGTCTTTATGATGGTGGATACTTGATCTATCTCTTACTGTTATATCCCCGGGCAACGCCGGGCTCTACTGCTAGTTTGTAAATAAATCAAATTAAAAAAAGAATAAACAAAAGTTACTCAGCCGACATCTCCTTTTTTTTTCCAGACAATGCCGTGTTAGTATCAAGCTACTCTAATCTATAAAAGTTAGTTGACTTATATCTTGCAATGAAAGTTCGCGGAAGTAAGGAAATTAATGAATTTCCCCAAGGGCAAATAATAGGATGGCATCAATGTGGCAAGTCAAATAGAGAATTTGCGAGGTTTTTCCAGGTTAATCATGAAACGGTTAATAATATTGTCAAGAAATTTAATGAAGAAGATCATTGTCGTGTGGAACAACGTGTCTGAGCGAACGAAAAGGGCCCTGAATAGGGAAGTCATCAGAAACCGTTGTCAGAGCGTCAAAGATGTCGCCAACAGCATGGAAATGTCTCCATATGCGGTGATAAAGACTGAAAGAGCTAGGCTATCAAAGAAGCCCAATGCAAGAAAGAAGCTCTTGATTTCAAAGGTTAACAGGAACAGGCGTATGGAATGGGCGAGAAAATTCGAGAGCAAAGATTATGAATTTTGGCAGTCTGTAATTTGGTCAGATGAAAGTAAATTCTGTCAATATTCTAATTCGAGATTGGTTTATGTCTGGAGAAATTAGAATGAGACTTGGAACACTGAATGTCTCCAGGCGACCGTGAAACATGGAGGGATTGGAGTAATGGTGTGAGGCGCTGTCTGGTTTGGAGGGAAATCTGAACTGATTCTTGTTGACGAGCAGTTGAATGGTCCAAAATACTGTCAAATATTAGAGAAATGACTACTCCCACTATTTGAAACCAATCAGATTGACAAGAATGTCTATCTTTTTCAAGAAGATGGGGCGCCATGTCATACGAGCAAAGGCCTGGAAGGAATCGCAAGGAATCAAATCACTGCCAACGGGTAGCCCAAAATCCTGACATGAATCCAATAGAGCACGTTTGGGAGCACCTTGACCGAAGACTTGAGAGCATGCAACCAAAACCAAATTTATTTTAACCCTTAAATTTAAAAAGAAACATTGCTAAAGGAGAGGCAAAATATGGACCAGATGATTGTTGATAACTTGATCAAATCCATAAAAAATCAAATACAAGAACTGAAACTAGCAAATGGAGGACCTACTCCATACTAGTTCCAAATTCTGTTTGTCTATGTTGAATAGGGATTACGTAAATTTTGAAATTGGATGTAATTTATTTCTCCTGGCTAAAAAGATTTCTTAGGCTCCTGTAAGGGTGGCGATATAACCTGTCAGGGACTGATTGCAGTCTTTTCACTTTCATAACATGCTTAATGGTATTTGCTAGAACTAAACAAATTTCTTCGTACACGTTTCAGCTTCCAATCATCTTCTGAGATCCTAATAGAAATGTAAAGAGCCGAATGGTGAAAATAATCAAGCTGACCATTATATATTTGTTCTTTATGTCTTCTGACCTAACACCTTTTCTTAGTTTCGTTTCGTACTCGACGAAGTTAGCTTTTTTTAATGTCATGTCGTTTGTTGCGGATAATGCTTCTAGCTTAGGTAAAAGCAGCAGCAACCAAAATTTTCCCATGTAAATAATGGGTTGTCATTATTTATAGAGATAAAAGGAAATGGATTGAATGGTGAAGGAATAAATTTCAACACGGAGATATTTTCTGTTTTCTCATACAAATTAATAAAGGATTAACAAAGAAAGAGAAAATATATTAATATGTATACAGCTGAAAAAGAAGAAAATGCAATGAACTTAGGTGTTAGGAAAAAAACCGTGTCTGTGTGCGTGTGATATACTTTTGTATGTGTAAACGTTCAATCGCCTGGGGGAAATATATCATCCCCAGTGGGGAGAAGTCCCGTGTTGATGTTGTTACCTACTACATGCTATGAGGAAAGGATTAAAATTAGAAAGATATTTTTTGTCATTTTATGGTACTAAACAGCGTCTTGACGGAACAAGTCTGGCAATTCTAAAACCCTTCAGGATCTCCTCAGATTCCATTTTGCTATTATCTCTGACTTCTTGAGATAGATACTGGAATGGTCTTCCGTCACTTTCTCTACCACCCAAGGCTAGAAACCCTAGTCTACCCTGATAATTAACCTATTGCTGGAGGTGGACAGAAGAGATGGATTCATGCATTTCCAAAGGGAATTTATGCGAAAGTGAACGCTGAAATTTGAACTCCACTTTCCACACCAATAACCACTATTCTACCCCCACACCCAGTTAGCCTTACGTGGCCCCAAAAGTTCATGTCGTTTTGTCGTCAGATAGCATTAGAAGCGTATAGTTTTAGCACTATTAAAAAGATCTTCTTTCGGTCGTAATGGAGCGGCTGTCATAACGTGAATTAAGAAAATATAGAGCATTGTCAGAAGCGAATTATTTTTGTTAGTTAATTTTAACATGGAAACTGAAAGAAAATTATCAACCACTAGATTTGATCGTTCTGTTTATATGGTGAGATTCGAAAAGGAGGGACGGGGGCGGATCTTTATGAGAAGTAAACAGTTTAAACATGTACTGTTCAACGAGCTGAATGATTAATTTATTTTATGGCAAATCGACACCTTATGGGTCATTTGATACCGACATTTAACTTTCTTGGGAGCTTTGATTGATTGAGTTGTTTAACGGCATTTCAACGCCGTATGATATCATTTAATGCTGAAATTGAATTTTCTTTCAAATTGCTAAAGCTAGGATTTAGAATTCCTTCGGAATATTATTCTCTTTGGAATATTGACGCAACACAATCTTTTCATTCACACTTGGCCCTGTGACATATTTAAGTTATTGTTTTCTTTTTACTGGCGAGAAAAGAATGTCGAATGTTGATTTTTCAGGGAGATAGACTGAAATATTTAAAAAGCTTTGCTTAGTCTGGCACAAGGCTACAAATGCAGCGCGTTCAATCAGAATGGAACTTACTCTCACAGTAGTAATGGTTTACTCGACAAACACAGTAGCCATCAAGATGCTTAGCAATTCATTGGAAAAACAACAAGAACAACAATATGCGCTTTGATTCCAAGAATTTACAAGTTATTTTTTAGGCTCCATTCCCAAGACTTTGGATAGTGTCCTGGAAATGCTTGTAATCACTCACCACGTTCCAACCCTACAGAAATCGGCATTGCTAAGAACTGCCAATATCCTGCAGCTTACGGCCACATCAAGTTGAAACACCGGTTCCCGTACGATCAACGAATCTAAGCAACGTTGAACCTGGTCAGTACATAGATGGGTGACCACTTGAGAATACCAAGTGCTGTAAGCTTGGATGTGCGGGTGGTGTAATGGATAATGGCACGGAATTGTTAATCAGAGAGCTGAGTTCCAATTCCAATTGGCTTCGTTATATTCATCATCATCATCATCATCCCCTTAACTTTTGTAATCGTAGGGGTGGGGGGGGTGGATCTGAATGCAGGAGCCACACTTAATCTCCTTCGCAGCGGTTTGTCAACAGCAGCCATCAGCAATTTTGGTATAGTTATACCTGTTTATTGTTTGACATTGTCCAACCAGTTTTTGCGTTGTCGCCCTCTCCTACGTCCACCTTCAATGGTGCCTTGCATGATGGTCTTGCACAGGCTGTCGTGCCTTGTAACGTGTCCAAACCATTCCATTTTCTCCGTTTGTCAGAGATACTTGCGCTTACGCTTGGGAAAGGTATCAATACATCTTTTCTCCCCTCATCTATGGTTAATTAGTAAGACTTGTATCAGTAAACCATTATTAACTCAAAAATACTTTTACCGTCTAAAAATATTCCCTGGCTTTAAAAAACCTGCAAAGGGTTGATAAGCCGTAAAAAACAATATCATGAGAAAAGTGCTCCCTGCCTGAGCTGAAAACGACTTGATAGAGAGAACCAATAATGGAAAATCTCCAGAATAATACTGAGCGAAATAAAGAAATAAAAACTGACACCTGGTGCCTCGTGGTTTGTTTTGATGTCTGCAGCAATAGTCGAAGGAATCGGGTAATTTCAAGACGACCTATCACGTGATATTGACTACCATTAAAAAGATTGAATTTTTTCTATCAACTCCCCCACCACCACCAAATTATGTAAAGTTACTTATCGCAAATATTGATTCACCACAAGAAATTATAAATTTTAAATCAAAATTTGTTTGTGTTTTTATTGAATTTTTGGCATTTTTTAATTATAAATTTTAAATCAAAATTTGTTTGTGTTTTTATTGAATTTTTGGCATTTTTTAATTATATTATCAAAATTTGTTTAGCTAGCCTCGTAATAACTCCAAACCTGAGAATGAAAAATTACCAAAAATCAGGGAGTTCTTCACATTTCGTAGGTGCGGATGATATTCGAGGTACTTACAAGGAATCTTTTTACAATTTATAAAAGAAAAATCTGTTTTTGGCTTGTCAGATGATGAGGATGAGCGCGAATGTAGAAATAGATATAGCGCACCCGAGTCACCCATATTGGGGGGGTCGCAAAAAAAAACCCATCTGAAAAAATGGAAGGGCTTCCAAAAAGAAGAATTTTGTGTGAATTTTGGTAAATATAAATTCTTTTTATTTTGGGTTGAATTGAAAGAAAAGATCCAAAAAGACTATATGTTGTATTTGTCCTCATTGAGTAACAAATAAATCCCTGAAGATGGGCGCAGCACAGTCTTCCTACTTTACCCCCAACACATCTGACGATAGCAAATAGCGTGAAACCCGGGGTCACAAACTCACATCAATCCAACTAAATATGTTAGCTCTATCATTGATATTGAGCGCTTTCCAATAAGTACCGCGCATATATAATATATATAAAATTTGCATATATACAGTTGCGGCTAAAATGTTCAGAACGGTACTGTTTTCGTCAGAAAAGTAGGTATAAGTTTTTATCAAAGTTGTTTTATATTCTATAATTTTCACAGACAATAAATACGATATTAATTGTTATTGTCTGAGATTTTGGTGTAATTTGAGAGGATAATATAAAAGTTATGGATGATTTAGTGATTTACTTCAAAACCCATGGCGGCCAAAATGATCAGAATGGTTGCTTTTACTCAAACACGTTTTATTATTTTTTTTTTTTTTACGTGACGGTTTGTTTACTAAACATTAGTAAGAATATCTGCAGTGTACTTTGTTAATATAATGCCACTTACTCCGTTACCAATTCGTCAGCAGATTATTAAGCTTCGAAAGAAGGATAATTTAAGTATTGGGTCTATTGCAAAGATTGTTTACAAGTTAAAAAGTGTTGTTCACGGTATTCTTAAGGTCTACGATGATTGTGATTCGTGTGAAGCAAGAAGGTCTACAGGTAGGCCAAGAAAAACGACCAAGAGAGAAGATCGTGCTATGGTAAAGTTGTTTAAAAAGGACAGATTTAAAATTGCTGCTGATGTTTCTCGGGAAATGAGCATTGTACTGAAGAAAACTTTATCTCGAAAAACTGTGTCTCGTTGTTTAGTTGAACATGACCTACAAGCAAGAGCACCTGCAGTGAAGCCACTGATCAGCTCCAAGAATAAAAAGTGTCGTCTTACCTTTGCAACCGAACATGTGTAGAAAAAGAAAAATGGCAAACGGTGCATTTCAGTTTATGTTATTTGGCTCAGATGGGAAAAGGTACGTTCGTCGAAAAGTAGGTGAAAAATTACCGCCTAAATGCCTTAAGACTAGTGTTAAATTCGGTGGAGGAAGTGTCATGGTTTGGGGGATGATATCTGGAGATATAGCTTAGATATGGCACAAGTATGGGGCACCCAGTGAGGTTCGAACTCACTACTCAGTCATAATTGTTCTAGCAAGACAAGTTTGCTAATCATTACACCGCCTCGAGGTACCCCAGTAAAAGGAAGGACATAAGTTCAAAACATAAAGGCTAAAGCAATGAATTTAATGGTCTATGAGGAAAAATAAAAGTAGAATCATTTGAAAATGATTCAATACAAGCTAAGAAAAGGAAATTTTGTAAGAATGAAATCATTTGAAACTATTTATTTCATAAAGACAACAGAGAAATAAACCCGTCAGTTTTGTGTAAACTTTTAGCAACACTAGTTTCCTCGTTAGATTTTGGGTTATTTTCATCAAGAGAATCTGAGAAAAAAAAGTATAATTACTTATAAAGTTACAACCAAGAACCGTAAGAAGAAGGTTGTAAAAATATATTTTTATGACGATATTTAAAAATGAACTAAATACAGGATATTTGTATTCTCCCTGAAAGGTCAGTAGAAGACAGGAGACAAAATTATCTAATCAATACGGGATGTATTCAGTATATAAGGGATGTCTGGCAACCTAAACTATAATTTTATACTCTAATTCTGAAAATGGAAATTTCACTGAAATATGTCGGAATATTTCAAAATTTCCACCTAAAATCAAGAAAATACGGACGTCACAGTAAATGGAAAAAAAGAAGGCGTCAGTTTTAAACTGACGACTGGAAAATGCATATGGCGAATTATGTTTTTGTTCTGCATTTTTCTTAGAATTGTCCCCTTTCCCTTCTTACAACATGGATTCTTGTTGTTATTGTTTTGCATACCAGTTCTCTTGCATCGTCAATTCGTCCCTCGATGGATGTAATTACGTTGTTAAAAGACAAACAAAGTTCTACTGACGTAGTCATTTATTAAATTAGCAAAAGTCAACAGTAAGAATCTAACTCACTTCTGTATTAATGATCTGCGTGACTGATTTGTTAACAATGAATTGCACAACAGTTTAGGTGGTAAATTCTATCGATACAAGTATTTATTAAAACTGAGCATACCATGATGAAAACAAAAATCAAAACTTAATAAAAACAACGTTTTATTGTCAAAATCTTAGTTGTTATTAAGACCAAAGGGTTTTTTTTATTATTAAATTATATTTTTTGATCCTTTTTAGAACGTTCAAAATTTTGGTTAAAAATGTTGTTTTCTTGCTTCAATAGATGATCATAAACTATTATAAGAAATTTTAGGTGACCATTTTTTGCGGTGAAAAATCTTAATTTGGAAATTCTTACAAAAATCAGATAATTGTAGGGTTTTAATGAAATTTTCAGGACATATTCATAAATGAATTAAATTATTTTACAAATGTTTCTTTTTTAGAAAATCTTTTTTTTACATCTGTTATGCCCTATTTATTTAATTTTAAGAAATTTTGAGAAATTCATTTTTGTATTGCTTAATGTTTATATTAGTTATTAGAACAAGTCATCGGAGAATTTAAATCATCACTTTGATATATATAGAAATCAGGGCTCTTAGTTGCAGAAAATCTGCTCTTAATCGTAAAATAAAAAATGCTTATTGGTAATTTTCTCAACAAGCGTCTTCGTAAGTAACACTATAAGGCCAAAGTACCTAAAATTCAATAAAATATTAAATTACTTAGAATATTTTCCTACATTTTAAAGATTTCTGGGTAGTTATATATATATATATATATATATATATATATATATATATATATATATAAACGTTCACGTTATATTCGTCAAGTAATGTTTACAGTTATGTACCCCTTACTTCAAAATGCCATTAATCCGTCAACTCCTTCTTAAAAACATCTACCGCCGTGTTAAAAATGCTTTTCTGCAATATTTTATGCTAAACGCAAGTAACATTTGTTTTAATTCAGATTAATTAAGGTATAAATCAGCTAATCGTCATCAAATAAAGTTTCAGAATTTTTTTTTTAATAAAGATACTTAGCGGTTTCGAAAAAAAAAACTCTTTCCAGTCAATTTATATTCTTTCGAAATTCAGCAAAGTGTGTTGTTTATTGGAAATTAACTTGGAATTAAAACTAAAATAAAAGATTTTTTTATCTCTAAAATGCATTTTAAAGCTTAGGTATACCCCACTTATTTCCTTTTTGGAAATACTTACAGTTATATAATGTTTTATTTATAAGCTTCTTTTGTTTTGTTTTATTTTGTTTTTCATTTTATTTTTTGTCGAGGTTTACTGCAATCGGTTCCGTTACAGTCATCCCGCCCAAATATTTCTTCCAAATCGACAAGGCCTCCTTTGATAAACAGGTATCGAAATCTTGGCTTTTATCTGGGTTCGAACACATTTCAGCTTAAAGGTTGAGTGATAAGTAAGATAAACAAGTAAGTTTTTTATAAAACACGTTTTACCAGATAGAATTAAATTGGCATTAAAATAAAGTAAATTCATTTCTTTTCAACATGATGAGGGTTGATTGATAATCCTATAAAATAAGATTCAGACCGGAGAAAATAATGATACTGGTATGAAAATGAAGTAAATTTAATTTA